TTTTTTTTTTTTTTTTTTTTTTTTAATTTAAAAGAAAACAGAACCAGCTGCATTTCATAGGGGAATGTAGAGCGCTCCAGGGCAGAGGGAGCAGGATGGGGGCAGGTGGTGACTTGCACTCAGGCCAAGGGGACCAGCTGGGACAAGCGATCTGATGAGTGTTCAGAGCAGAGGTGCTCGGTCCACTCTGAAAATTGGCTGCCACACAACAGGCGGGCAAACCCACCACCTCCAGAAAGCTTGGCCACTGCCTCCAACCCTGTTGTGGCCTCTGGGTAAAGTACAGTTTTTAACCCTTTCTTGGAATTTCCCTCTTTGTTTTTAAGCTGCAGTTGGGACGCGATTGTTCTCTGTGTAAGGATCACTCCTCTGGCATCGGCACTAGGCCAAGCTGTCACTGCCCGAGGTGTGAGCAGGGTGCGGGACAAGTGTCAGAAGGTGCCAGTCATGCCTTCCTTTGCTGGATGCTGCATTTGAAGGCCTTTCGTGGTGTCCATTTCAGAACAGGTGTGTGGTCACCAGATGCCTGCCATCTCCCTCTGGAAGGCAGGAGGCAGCAGGGGCTCGTCTTTTCCTGGAAGTGTCAGGCTTATTTAGGGGCTTGAACACAGGAGACCGCCTAAACCCAGTGTAGAGTCAGAGCAAAATGCCCAGGGTCATGGTTTGTGGTCTGGGCAGAGGGTTCAGAAAGCTGTAAAGAATATGTTAAAGCTACTCCTGCAGCTGAGAGTTGTCGTGGCAAAGCAGCTCTGGCGTCTTGCTGTGCTTCCACGGAGATGAGTTCAGGCCTTGTGCCAAAAGCTGCCCCCAGTTGACCCAGCTGAAAATGGCAACCTGGTCACTTGGGTTAGGGAGTCAAAAGCGACCAGATGTGCTGTTAGCCACAACACGTCCTTGAGTGTCTTTAGCTACAGACGGTAGCCAGAAGGGCTATTCTGCTCAGGCAGACCAGTCTCCCTTTGGTTTCGCCTGTAGACAGGGTAAGGACAGCAGTACAGGCTGTTGGCACGATATATAAGCAACCTTTTAACTCCAGTGGCTGCTTACCCATTTAGAGACAGCACCTGGGTAGAAAATGGACCATCCAAGCCCTGTGTAAGGCCCAAGAGCTTTATGGACCGCAGATCCCATGCTCTGCGCTGGGGACACTTCATTCTTATCTGAGATGCATGTTGTGGGTATGGAGCCAAGCGTCCCAATAACAGATCAGAGGGGTGGTAGAAGTCAGGCCCCTCCTTGCACTGCCAGTGTTGTCTCCCTCAGTGTCCCCATCCCGCCTTGCCTTGGGAAGCTGCAGCTTGCTCATCCCCCCAGTTGCTCTGTAAGGATCCATCTGTGTGTAGTTTATGGTCTATTTGCCTGTTAAAAGCAGCACTCGCAGGAAATCAGGGATTCCTGATGTGTATCCTCAGAGGTAGCCTGGATAAAGGCAAACCAGGACCAGGCTCCTATTGGATCCAACAAGTTACAGACCATGTCCTGCAAATCTTGAACAAAGCATAAGCGAACACAGGCAGTAGGAAATTAGCTGCATGACAGCTGGCATAAGAAGGTTTGTTCCATGGGGGACAGGGGGGCTGGGGTGACTGACACCTGCCAAGACCTGGTATGTCCACGTGGAGCAAGAAAAAGGCCAGCTGTCCACCAGCTGAAGGCCTGGCTTTTGCTGTCCATGTGCTGAGGCTGATTTCCCCACTTACTAATTGAGGAACTTCTTGAAAACCTGTGCTGGTGAGGAGAGGCTGCAGCGACGGAGTGGCTAAGGTGGGTGTCTTGTTACAGCTGGCTAAGGCATGAGTCCAAGTCCTGCTCTGGACTCATACCAGTGGGGTGGGGAGCGGGGGCACAAGATGGCCCAGCATAAATGGGCACCTGGTCATTTGATCAGAGTCAGAGGCAGCCACGTCACTCCCCTGTGTGCCATTAGCGCACCCAAGCTGGCATGCCAGTACATCTTAACCAGGCTCTCTCCTGGCTCAGGTAGCCCTCAACTGACTGATGGGCATTTGCTGAAGTGCTCAGCCTTGTTCTGCTTCCAGTTGGGTCAGTGGATGCATTTGAGCTTCCTGGTGAGAGCAGATCACAGTAGGCCCAAATGCCATGCATTAAAGACCCCTCTTTACTGTTGTCTGCAAAGCCCTCGGGGCTGAACTATATTCTCCCAAGAATCCAGCAGCAGCTGCTCACGTGAGGCCAAATTCTGGGAAGGCAGCATGCAGGGAGACCTGCTAATGGATCTCTCCACCAGGGCTTGAGGAGGAAGACTCTGGCAACAATTCCCCCAAAGGGTTAAAAACAGTGGGTTAGTCTGTTGTTTTATTACTGCTGACTTGACTTTTTTAATTAAAAAGAAAATCAATAAAAGATTCTGGCTCTTCCCTGGTGCCAATGGTTGAATTGTACTGCTAGGCCAACCACGTAGATACAGTAGGGTTCTCTCCCCAAGTAAATAATAAAGACCTAGTTCTTTTTGGGTGGCCCCTGTCCCGTGCTGTCCACGAGCTGTCACATGTTAAAGAGAAGGGGCTGGCCACTGGCAGGGGAACTCAAATGCTGACATTGCAGCATAAGCATAGGGTTGTAGAGCAGAGGCAGCAGAACAGGAAGGGTGTCCAAGAGTCTGGGTTTGGGCCTCACACTAGACTCAAGCCAAAAGCTGTCCCCAGTTCCCTGACCCGTTTACAAGTAGGTTGACTCAAAAGGCACTGGATGCAATGACAACCATTTCAGTCCTCTGTGCGCCATCAGCTGTACAAACTGGTGTGACTTTGCCCACCTAAGCCAGCAGGCCAGGGTGGTTTTCAGCCCACCCTTTGTAGGACAGGCAGTTCAGACTCCTCCTGGCTTCTGTTCCAGCTCTGCTCGTTGCGTAACCTGGGAGAAAGTCCCAAATAGTGTGGCCCTTTCCATACCAGGGAAGGACAGTGTACCCCCGCTGCCCATCTCCAAAGCAAGCCACTTACTTCCTACTTTGTAGGCTGATGGAGCATTTAGAATGAGCTTGGAGGCTGGCCCTACAAACCAGAGGGCTGAAATCCAGGGCCAACAGATGCAATGCAGAGCACTTACAGCCACCAGCATGAGGGTTTCATGTTGGGAGCTGGGGGCAACAGGCGTTGCTTAAGGGGCTTTAAAACACCTGCCGAGACTAGAGAGCTGTCCCTGCATTGCCAAGAGGGGAAGGAACTTGCGTGAGACAGATGCAGCTCTTGGCCTGTTCCTCTCTGCTACACCCTTCAGAGCAAGCAGGCAGTGTGAAGAGAACTTCACTTGGCACCCGGTGTGTTTAGCAACACCCCAGAATGAGGCTCATTGCTGGAGTGGGACCAACTCCTTACACCTGCGTACAACTCTAGAGACCCAATTCACTGGCATGCATCAGGTATGACATTGGTGGGTTACAATGTGTCTTGAAAAGGAGCTCTAGGTAAACCCAGAAGGTCCCAGAGCTGCCTGGTTTTGGATGGATCCCTGCTGTGTGGCAACTCCAGTCTCCCTGTTGTGATCAAACCTGCAATGGTGTCAGAATGGTGAATTTTGTAACAGTGATGTCTACACACTTAGTAAAGGACAGAGGCAGTAGCCAACTCAGCCGACCAGAACTACAATTCAGCCTTCACCAACAGAGCCTGGAGGCTGCATGCCCCATCCCAGCACCCAGAGCTGAGCAGCCCGCTTGAGTCTAGCATCTCAATCCCCATTTCCCTGTAGGCTTGCACAAGGAGACCAATAAATGCAGACTTCACTTACAAGTTACATGTATTAAAAAAAAAGGACAGAGAGTCTAGTACAGAGATGAACAGTCATAAAAGGCTCAGTGCTTTCAGTGTTCAAGAAACGAGTACAAAAATAATTCATCTTTTAAAGAGTTTGCTACAGTGTAAGGTCCTTTATAGCTTGGTTATATCAAGCCCCAGAGAGGCTGAATGTACAAGTATTTCATAGTGTTAGACCAGGGGTATTTAACCCCTAGCCTGTGGGCCAGATCTGGCCTGTGGCACTGTGATATCCAGCGCACAGGGCTCCCCAGGGATTTGAAAATCTGGCGGTGGGGAAATAGTAGCACCACACCCAGCTGCCAAATTTACAAACCCACAAGGAGCCCCAGCCTGTGTACTGACTTGGGCACCTGATCCCAGTGTGCTGGGCTGGGCAGGGGTGGTGCTGGGCCCTGCTTCCAGCATGCAGGGGCAGGAAGGGGTTACTCTAGACTTTGCAGCACCAGGTCCTGGTCTGAGCCCAGCTGCAAAGCAGCATGACAAAGGATTCAGTAAAATACGGGATTATAACATCTCCCCCCCTTCCCAATCACCTATAATGGAAACAAACTAAAGCTGCCTTAAAGAAACACGGCCAAGCTAGTGGCTGTGCTATTAGCACCACTTTTGATTATCAGAAAGAAGAAAGCATATTTTGCACATGTGGGCTCTTGACTTTGTGTCTCCTTCAGCAGGAAACCAGACCAGTTTGTTTGAAAATTAGCTTCACTTCACACACCCCAAGTTCTGCCAAGTTTCAACATTCTCAATCTAGAGAAAGTAGAATTGAACTTGCAGGAAAGGACATGATTCCCCAGTGCACATAAACTGGCATCTAACTACTACTGTTGACAGGGAAACACCAGCAGAAGATCTTGCCTGATAACTTTCACTATTGTATTGGGGGAGGGGGTGGTGTAGGTGTTTTAACCTGAAAACCCATTTTGAATTCCCTTTTCAGAAAACCCATTCTGAAGCCCACCAATGCAATGCCGCAGCTGGCAAAGCAAACAAAACTCTGGCTTGCATCTACTAATCCATCTCAAGCAAGACCCAGGAAGTAATTCTCCTGCTTTACTTGGCCTTGGTGAGGCCACAGCTGGAGTACTGCATCCAGTTCTGGGCTCTACACTTTAGAAAAGATGTGGAGAAGCTTGAAAGAGTCCAGAGGAGAGCCACATGCATTATCAGAGGACAATAGAGCAGGCCTTATGAGAAGACCGAGAGCCAGGAGACTCTTCAGCCTGGAAAAGCGTAGGCTCAGGTGTGACTTGGTGGCAACCTATAAATATATAAGGGGTGTATGTCACACCCCTGGGAGAACATCTCTTCACTAGGGCACCCCAAGGGAAGACAAGGTCCAATGGTCACAAACTCCTGGAAGACTGTTTTAGGCTGGACATAAGGAAAAACTTCTTTACTGTCCAAGTCCCCAGGGCCTGGAATAGACTCCTCCCGGAGGTGGTGCAAGTCACCCTTCTGGACTCTTTCAAGAAACACTTGGATGCTTATTTTGCTGGGATCATTTGACCCCAGCTGACTTCCTGCCCTTTGGGCAGGGGGCTGGACCCAATGATCGTGTGAGGTCCTTTCCAGCCCTAATGTCTATGAAATCTATGAATTCTGTTAGCTTTGGTAAAATACAGGACTATTGTGAAGTAAGATTTTGCCACGCTAACATGAGACCCGATTCTCACTTATGTAATAGAAGTGTAAAGGAGCTGCGTGGAGTGATGTAGTGGGTGCGTCTACACGAGATGCTTAATGCAAAGAAGACTAATTCTAGTGCGCATTACCATGATGGACAAAGCCCATGCTAATGTGCAGTAGATTTAGTCTAATGTGCAGTAGCATCACAAAAAAACCATTTATCTGTGCTAATATGCAGTAGTACCACTTGTTAGTACCTGTCATTACAGCGCATTAATGAATGTGCAGACGCACCGTATTTTACAAATTAATGGGAACATGCACAATCAGGTGATTGTGCACACCCTCTGGGACAGCCCCAGGTCCGAAGACCTATGCCACATGTTCAATTTAAGGCGCCATACAAACCAGCCACAAAGATGTTCTATAATATGTGGAACATCTTTGTGACTGGTTTGTCATTTTATGGCGCCATATATTGGCTGAACTTATGGCATGCTACAATTTATGACATGATTTAACATGTTATTTGTTCCATAAATGTGCTGTGTGCCAGGGCCCAAAGTCTAATGAGGGAGCCTGGTACACAGAGGGGGGGCATGAGGCTCTGCAGAATCAGAAGACCTCAGATTTTGATTTTATGCTGAAAGGTTAAAATGATTTGTGGGAAATGACCCCATTTCCCAACTGACAGTCCTGCTAACAGATGAGTGTTTAGCAATGTAGCTGCAAGATGAGATCTGGCTAGGAGGGGAAGTTCCAGCAGTCGGCTCTAATCAGACAAGAAATAAACTCAGTGTTTGTTTTCCTTTTGGAATTCCTCCTTCCTCCTCAATATAGAAATCAAAGTAGAAGTAATCAGTAGAAACCTGGGCATATTCATTTCAGGTTCCTGGTTCTTAAAGCTGATAGGTGCAGGTTGCCAGCCCAGCAGCTGGCAGCACAGAGATGGTAAGTGCTCCTGTTGGAGGCACTGAGCAGAGGGGCATAGGATCAGAATGCTCCTGCCCCAGGAAAAAGGACTTGAGTCTTAGAGGTTTTGTGGTTCAAGCTGTGTTCTCCCAGCCTAGTGATGTTACCTTAAACAGAAAGAAAAGTGAGATATGTTCACACCAAGTTAACATTTACATTGAACAGCATCCCACTGCTGTCCAGCATGGAAGGAAGGAATGGGTGGGTGGCTTCAAGTAAAGACTCCATGCCAAAGTCATGCCCTGGAGAGAAGAATGGTAAAACTTTACCTTGGGCGGCTGGCTACAGTCACCTTCTTAGGTGGCTCTAGCTTGCTGCCACGGAGAGCACCTTGAGGGGTTGTCCGCTGGGTTACAGAGGCTGGGGAAGGAAAGGAAAGATCAGCATGACCCACAGCCTCATCAAGCCAAGCACCTAGCACACAAGCAATACAAGGATACTGTGATATGGCTGCCCATAACACCAGCCCCCTGGACTTGATGACCTGCCCTGTGCCCCAGGGACCCTGGACACCTGTGTATTCTGCCTGGCACATTGACCTGCCAAATCCTCTTGTTCACAGCTTGACCCTACAGAAAATTCCCCATCAGTAGCACTGAGCCTAGGGTAGAGCATGGGGAATGATCTTCCATACAACTGGTTTCTGACAGAAGTTTGGGTTTTCTGCTAAATGAAATCCTTGGTGCAAAGCACCTGCTTCAAAGATTGTTTGATTTTTCCTTAAATGCCTGAAAGCTGAAACATTTCAATTTCAACATGCCCCCGCTATGCCTCACGCCCCATTCTCCTCTGTGGGTGGGTTCCCCTGCGGACATTCACCTTCCACAAGACACCATGGCCTTTGCTGTATCACCCCTCCTTGCCAAGAAGGAAGAGCAGGATGCAGCACAGGAGATGTAGGCCAATGGTAAGCTCCCTCCCAGCCCTCTCGTGTCTATTAATCAATATTATCCCCAGAGTTCAAGTGAGGAACTGAGGCATGGGGGAGAAGGGAAGAGAGGATGTGACTGGCCCAAGGGCACATACTGAACCAGCGTCAGACCCATCTCCACTGCCTGTGAACCTCACTGCTCTAGTGCCCCAATTCAAGTGTCTAATAGAGACCAATTCACAGCAGGCACTGGTATCAGAGAGGCAGTGCCAGGGCCTAGCATCAAGGGGAAGCAAGAGCAGTAAGGGACTTGGCAGTGACTAGCAGATAGAGGAACTGCTTGAAGACAGAGAGGCAGCTCTCAGGAGCAAGGGCCAGAGCGTTGAAGATGCTGGGGTTAGAGCTGCCGCCTTAGATTGTGTTAAAGATGCAGACAGGTGCTTCCATTGTGAACATGGCGCAAGGCATGGAGCAAGGGGGAAGAGCCTACGGCAGGATCCCAGGACAAAGCTGTAGCCCCTGGATCGTAGCTATCAGCCCTCATTGTTCAAACCCTGGAAAGTCATCCAGGATTTGAAGAGACAGAGAGGTCCCAGGAGAGAAGGGTAGTGTAGGAAGCTACCCTAGCCCCTGCTGCTGAGAGAATAAGAAGCTCCCTTTGCATTAGAGGGCTGCAACATAATAGGCAACTAAAGTAGGAACAGCTGCAGGAAAGTAAGCAGCCAGAAGCTAAAGATAGGAGCTCCAAGGCAGTGAGGGACTAAAAAGCTAGCTGCATGGCCATAAGCATGAAGGGCAGAGCTCCAAGCGGGTAAGAAGGCAATGACTGCAGCTTAGTTGCTCAAACTGCAGCACAAGAGCAACTACTCATTAAGTAAAAGGGAAGAGCCCTGTGGAGGGTCAGTGGAGAATATGCCCAGAAAGGGTGGAGCTCAGGGGAGCATAAACCTTGGCTCCTAAGCCAGAGTAGTCAGTTCGGCCCTGATCCTTGCTGTGAGAAGAGCTAGAAACACAAACTGCTAGAGAGTGGCACAGAGGCAAGCTCAGGTATCTGGGAAAGCTGGAGGGAGGATTACTGAATGGAGGGTAGGAGTTTGCAAGGTCCCGGAGAAAGAAAGGAAGAAGTGATTTGTGTCTCTTTTTACAAACTTAGACAATTTGGAAGTTTGGGTATGGCTACAGGGGTGGTGGAAACAGCACACAGGGTGCTTGGGGACACTCTGTACCATAAGGGGCTGAGGCCTAGAGAGCCGTGTAAAACCTAGTGGACTGTGTGGGCTAAAGCAGTGTGATTTACGCTGGGAGCAAAAGCGCAGCCCTGTGAGGGTCAGGGACCCTGTGGGCTGAAGGTGGTATAGGGCCAGAGTGCCCAGTGAAGGCATTTACAGCAAGACCTGCAAGGCATAGGTGTGGCTATGCAGGAGCTTGTAGGGCCCCGGTAAGGGCCTGCAGGGCTACAACTGGTATCACAGGCAGTGCCAGGGCCTAGTGCCAAGGGGAAGTGGAACAGAGGGCTATCAAAGGCCTGGAGCCTGAAATAGTGTGCCACTTCTGCCTGGTACTAAGGGGAAGAGGAGGGGTTCTGCTCAGGACAGGGAATAGAGCCTGATGAGGAGCAGGAGCAGGTAAAGCGCCCAAAGCTTACTGGTCTCTGAGGGCAGTATCCCTAATTGTATCACTTTGCCATCAAGGTGTGGCAGATGAGACCTCAGGGTGATACCCTGGGAGGCAGGAGTGGGGTAGAACAGGACAGGTGAGGTCACTGGGGGTGCTACTGCCACCTACACACCTGCATCCTATTACAGGTGGCTCATGCAGCCCAACACTGGAGCCTTCAGCTCACGAGCCTGAGCTGTTGCCCCTCCAAGAAATCCACATGCTTTGGCTCCCAAAACCACTTCTCACCTCGCTGTCCAGATGCACTGGGCCTCAGGAGCCCCTTTGCCCCAGCAGACCCCTGGCCCAGGAGCTGTGGCTGGCTGGATTTCCTTGGCACTGCAGCCTGGCTCAGGGAAATAACTCGGCTGGCTGGTTTGGGAACAGCGGTGGGCACTGGGAGGCGGCTGGCAGGGATGGGGATGGCTGTGCTCCTAGCCCGTGCCTGGCAGGTGGATGTTGCGGTGGGTCTGGAGCTGGTTGGGAGCTGGGAGGAGTTGTCCCCACAGGGCTTAGCTGGACCTGAATGCAGAAAGAGAAGGGGGTGAGCTTGAAGGGATGGATGTGACATTTGGATTCACTCAGGCTTCCCACCAGCTTGTCTCCCTTTTGGGGGAGCACCTGCCCTTCCCTTAGTCACTTGTACCAACTCACACTTAAAGCATATGAGTCCTCCCCTTAGCAATTACAGTCCCTGACCCTCCACGCCTTTCCCCTGGCACTTATCTCCCCTGGCCAAAGAGAGCACAGCCACACTGCTCGCTGCCCAATGGGCTGAAGTAGGAAAGGCTTTTTGTACTGATTCCCTTGAGATGAGCCTTATTCCCTTAAGACCACATTATTTTGCTTCCAGTTCAGTGGCTGACTCCTGTTGCTCAGGTTCTAGCTTAGCGGCTCATCTCACAAAAGACTGTAGCCACTGTTAAGGAGCTCCTTCCCATCTGCTGGAGCAGTGCTCTACGCACAAGCAGAGGCAGCCACAGTCTGTAGCACTGACACCTGGGAGCTCAATGATTCCCTGGTGGTCAAGTGCCTGGTGCTGCTGCTAACTGCAGAGCTCTGCCTCCAGCTCTATCCAGAACTGGATAATTGAGGCAGATGGAAGGACTTGATCCTCGGGCTGGAAACACACAGCTGGTCCACAAAAATTGGAGGACATGTTTTTGGTCTTGGAGCAATTGCTGTCTCTATGTTGGCTGTACTGGTTGGGAGCTGAATACAGCACAGCCCACAGCCTTGGCCATCATGCCCTAGAATCCCACTTCCGCATTGGGAGGGTGGATTTTTTCCAAGCAATAAAAGCCCATTCTTTCTCCCCACCAAATGAAGGCTCTTCCCCAAGCTGGACACTAGATGGAGCTTGATCCCTGCTGGATGGGAAAGGCTTACATGCATGGAGATGCCACAGCAGTGATGGGGAATTACAAACGAGCCACCCATCTCAGTGCAGCGCTTGGTGGAAGCTCACCGAGGCAGTGCGTATGCTGCGCTGTCTTCACCCTCGCCTCTCCCAGGAGCGCTGGAGCTGCTGAACCTAAGCCAGTCTGTAGGGGTGCAAGGGAGGCTTCACTCCACCCTGCCCCCAACACCATCAGTATGCTAAGGTGCTGGGGAGCAATCTTTAGCAGGCATGCCACAAATTAAGCCCTGTGTCCTTTGAGTGCCTCTGATCCCGTCTCTGCTCAGTCTGTTGCTCTGCTTTCTGCCCCCTGCCTGATCTGCCACCATGTTCCTTGCTCCCTCCCTCATCTGCCACATATTACATGCAAAGGCTGCCCAGGCCACTTGTGCTACTCAATGCTAGGGGATGCAGAACGTGCCCCTGCAGCTCACTGGGGGTGCAGAGAGCAGAATCTGCCCTGCTCAGGAGGCAGACCATTTCTCCCTACCCTGTGGAGCCTGGCCTTGGAAGCCTGGTTACCTGTATTAACAATTTGCAGGGACTCTGCTTTCCCTCGGGGTGAGGAAAGCTCCTGCTTGAGACGGGGCTGCGTGGGCGACGACCTGGGTCCTCTTGCTTCTTTCACTCTTACTGAAGGCGATGTGCGTCTATTGGGGTTGTCCTGGAAGCTCAGCTAATGCAGCGAGAAGGGGTAAAGTGAGGTCAGCCTATAACTGGACCAAATGAAATGGGAGTTTGCTCCTCAGGCTTTGCTCATTTAAATGATTCAAGCAGATATGCTGCCAGTGGCTTCAAAGGCCTGCTCTGTGGCAGGCTCTGTTGGGCTCCATGTCCTCACTTTTAAGCCTTGGGGCAGCTGGAGTTGAACATTTGGGTGTATTTGAGCTTCCAGATTTCACCAAGAGGAGAGAATTCACACAAAGAGAATGGATTCCTCTCTCTGAGGGAGGGGAACTGTGAACAAATATTTTGCACTCTGCAAAGTGGCTAAGTCATGGTTTGAAAATCCATTCAGTGACCCACCCCTGGCAGACGGACTGTGCTGGGCCAAAAGTCAATGGTTCAGGCAGAATTCAGGCCTTCTTTTCTTAAGTCAGAGTTTCTTGCTCATACAGCTGTGAGGATGAAGCACCTGGAGGCTGCCCCATCTACCTGAGGCTGCAGCCAGGCTGTGCTGCTGCACAGAGCTCTTTCCCAAGCAACCGCACTTTGAAATGAGAAGCTGCTGGCTGGTTTTGCAGTTGCAAGAGGAAAGTGTGTGCAGCCGAAAGCTGATGGGCACCAGGTCCATTCCACACTAAAGGAGCTCTGAGCAACAGCAGGGAGGCACTGGCCGTACTTGCTGGGGAGCTAAGGAAAGCGAGGGGAGCAGCAGCTTGGTGGTAAGGTGGGGAGAGAAGTTCTGCTTTCCAGAAGGGAAAAGGGAAGGGGCTGGTTTCCAAATTAAGCCACCATTTGCCTGCACTAAGATGAGGGAGAGCAATTAGCAGGCCTAGAGACCGGTACCCCAGCAACATCCCCTCCCAGTGGCTAATCTACCTGCTTACTGCCGGCCAGTCTTTGTGGGGGCTGCACCTTGCTGGGGGTCGATTCCTTCCGGGGCCTTTCACCCCCAGCCAGGCGGCTGCCCGCTCTGTGTCGGAGCCGGGCGTGAGCTGGTGCCACGGCGGTGCGGGGAGAAGGGCTCTTCCCTTTTGAGAGGAGCGTCCCCAGCTCCACTGTTGGCAGCAGCGCCCTGACAGGACTGTTCTTCACCACGAAGGTCTCGCGCCGGGGGCTTCTGGGACTCTCCCGCTCCTTGGACAAGAACCTGATGGGGGCTCGGGGCTCCCCGCCAAGGCTCATCTCCGTCTCCTCCCGGGGTGAGGCACGGGCATTCTCCTTCGGCAGGTGGCACCTCTCCAGCTGCGTGGCCAGCCAGTTGGCCTCCTTCACAATCTCCTCCAACTTCTCAGGGCTCAATGGGCTCCAGTTTACCTGGTGCTCTCTTCTGGGGCCAATGCCCTCCTCCTTCACGACATTCGGGTCAATTCTTTGCGCCACGAATCTTTCAACCTGCTGGACAGGTCCGGCAAAGACTTCCTCCTTTTCCTCTGCACCAAGGCATTCTTCCTCCCTGCTGCAGGGGTGAGACCCAAATGTTACCAGCACCTGGGTGAAGGGGACAGTCCCCATCCTCCAGCACACAAATCTGCAAGGTTTATTCTGCAGGCAGGAGCAGGAAGGTATTTTATACCTTTCTGGATGCTACTTGGTTACAGCCCAGCCGAGTGCCAATTGGAGCTAGTTATAACCTGCCTGACTCCCCTCCACAGGTTTAAAATGCCTGCTGGGACCTGATGTGTCCTTTGGCTCCCATACACGCATCTGATCTGACAGGTGTTATAGGCCTGCCTGCAGCAACCGATCAGATTCAGGACTTGAAGACCTGATCCTGAGCCCAGGCTCTGAAGTCACTTTACTAATAACATGACTGGTTCTCATGAAGAGAAGTGGTTTGTATTTATGCTGGCAGGATCAGGCACCATGAGCAGGGATTAGCAACCTGTAGCCTGTCAGTTGGCTCCAGTCCACAAAGATTTGCCATCTTACCAGCAAAGGTGGGGTGGCAGGAGCTATCAGGTGGGAGGGCGAGGGAGGCAGCAGATTGTGGCTCTGCCCTGGCTCTGGACCATGCAGTCACCACTGCAAGATCCTGGCTCTGGCGCAGCTCCCCGCCCAGCTGCCCACCCTGCCAGTGCTGCTGGGGCCAGGCTCCACAGAAACCCTGGCCTCACGGTCCTGCTACGCCTGGGGCCTCCATGGAAACTGGCTCCAGGGACGTGGGCAGAGGCTGCTAGGAAACGGAGTCCACCGTGGGCCTAATCTGGCCAGTGGGCTGGACTCTGCCAGCCCCTGCTCTACACCCATTTCATGAGATAAAGCCTGGGGACTCTCTTTTCAGGGGGGAGGAGGAATGGGAGGGGGCTAAACGTATATTAAAGCAACCCAAACCCAGTGAACTGTCTCCTCCTGATCCTGTAGAGCCCAAGCCAGAGTTCCCCTTCCCCTCCAGCCCCTGGGAGAACAGAGCCAGAGTAACACAAAGCTAATGTGGAACATGTTTGAACGCCCATTAGTCAATCCGGTTTCCTGGCACTTCTTGGCATAAGCACAAACATGGGAGGACTTTCATGTGTGCAAGGAGCAAAAGAAAAAGCAGTAGGTGAAAAGGATCCTGGGGTAGATCCTCAACTGGCTCAAATCAGCAGTTCTATTGGCTGCAATGAGGCCAGGTCAGTTTACACCAGCTGAGGATGTGGCCCATCCGTCTTACCTGTCAGAAGGGGAGAGCTGACCAAAGTCAAATTTCTCATCAGTTATAAACTGTATCTCTGTAAAGAAACGGGATGCCATTACTTGTGCTGGAATTGATCCGGTGCCCCCGTCTTGCTGTCTGGGTGCCTTTCATGGCTCGTGAGGCAGTATTCTAGCAAAGCCGGCGCACAGCCCACCACGTTACACTATCGAGTGCCTCAAGAATTCAATAATTCAGCCTCCCGATCCAGCTGTATTACCAACTTGCAGATGGAGGATTAAGGAAAGGAGAGATTTGACAGCCTTGGGACTAGATTCTCCAATAGTATGGATGAGTGTAACAACATTGACTTCAGTGGAGTTGCGTTGATATACATTGGCTAAGGATTTGCACCCGGTTTCTGGAAGGGCTGAGCAGACACAAGTCCACTTAAAGGAAAGGTGATCTGTAGGTCTACTAGGCAACTGGGTTAAAAGCAGGAGGGGCCTGTTGTTCTCCTTTTCTGGTGATCTGGTATTCTCTCTTCCCTGCGGGGGCATGGGTGTCTAAAAGCCCCATAAGTAGCCTAAATTACCCTTAACATACACAGCTTAGCTGCATAGGTGCTCTCTACCTGTCTAATGGGAAAACTGAATTTGGGTCCAGGGTCCATCTACAGACAGGTGCATTTTAATCACAGCTGCTCGTATCTTTCGTTGTCTATTTGCCCTCCTCATACCCCCAGTTTGGCCCTAAGCATTGCAGATGGCACATGTACATGAGTACTGTAGGCTGCCCTTCCTGAAGGGGAACATGACCTGCTCTGTGTGGTGAGAAGGGAAAATGGTGATGAGGATTTCCAAGGCATGCATGTAGCTTGAGTTAGCTGGTGTTTAGGTGGTTAGCAGGTGGTTAAAACTAATTCAGGCAGACTCAGCATCCCCAACTTAATGGCACAAAGAAAGCTCCAGGGTTTGGTTCTCAGAATGGAACAAAATGGAGTAAATGCAGAAGAGATTTCTTGTTTCCACACGCAGTGCCAAGCATAAATCAGTGCAAAACGCACAACCTCATTTGAATCCCTTACCTTCCTGTCTGGACGTCTCCATCTTCTCAGGAAGCATCACAGTGAAAACAGGCCAGGATTAATCTAAAAGCAAAATGCAGGGAAGTGTTAATTAAATCAATGCTCTTGCCCCAAGCAGATGGCAAAGATCTTTTTTTGTACTGTCACAGCTGATCCAAACCAAGAACAAGCCTATCCTTATAGGTGTTAGTTACTCGGCTAACTGTATTCCCAACTCCTCCTGCTGTTCGAACACTGCCTCCTTACAGCTGGTCTGTCATCTCCTCCCTGGGAAGAGAACACATGATTCCCCCAGTCCCAGACTGGTACTAGATGGCAGCTGCTTGAGTTTTCACTGTGATCACCTGAGTTGGCAGGACTTAAGCTCAGACTGAAATGCTGAGCCCTCTGGGCAACAACCATGGTAATCCACTATGAAACGGTGGATTCCCCTGGATCAGGGAAAGTCCCATTCCTTCCGCCTCCTGCAAAGAACTGATCTATATCAACCTGCTTGCCAAGATGGCTACTGAGAGTAGCTCAGCCCAGCCCCACAACTCCCTCTTAGAGTGGCTTTTTGGGCTCATCCTCACTGCAATGTTAGTTCATTTGGGTGCCTATACAACAGTCACTGCTATACCTGCAGCTCACGTAGATACATACAGGATACCTTTAACCTACTAGCTCAGATACCAGGAGCTGCGTAGCTGCAGCAGTGCGGGACCGCTGCAGATTAAGTGCCAAAAACTTGCCCTGCTTCTCAGGGCCTTTTGCAGCTATGTGCCACAAGGCTATATTGCCAGTGATATCTGAGCTGCCCGATTTCAAACCAGCCTGGGGATGAGCTGCAGTCACCGCCATAATGATGGTGTAGACAGACCAATGGTTCTCAACTTTTTTAGGCTCAAAACACCTCAACTCAAGGCACCCCTCAGAACCTGCTCTTTGCTTTCACTCACTTTTTGACTATGGAAAAATTACAGAGCAATGTTTTTTGTTGTTTCATAGATTGTAAGGCTGGAAGGGGCCTTGGGAGATCATCGGGCCCAGCCCCCTGCACCAAGCAGGAAAGACAACTGGGGTCAGATCACCCCAGCAAGGCAAGCTAACTGTCCAGTTTCCTCTTGAAGATTTCTAGGGTAGATGATTGCACCATCTCTGGAGGGAGCCTATTCCACAGTCTGGACACCCTGACTGTGAAGAAGTTTTTCCTAAGTTGAGCCTGATTCGATCTTCCAGGAGTTTGTGGCCATTACTCCTAGTTTTCCTCTCAGGTGCCCTGGGGAACAGTTGCTCACCGAGCCCTTGATGTACTCCCCTGGTGTAGTGGTAAGCTAGTACCAGGTCCCCTCTCAGCCTTCTTTTCTTCAGGTTGAAGAGTCCCAGATCCCTCAGCCTTTCCTCACATGACTTGCCATGATAATACGGGTGGCTCTTTGGACTCTCTCAAGCTTGTCCACGTCCTTGTTAAAGTGTGGTGCCCAGAACTGGACGCAGTACTCCAGCTGTGGTCTCACTAGTGTGGGTCGAGTGAAAGAGTCACCTCCTTGCCTTTGCTGGAGATGCATCGATTGATGCATGCTGGAGTATTATTTGCCCTACTGGCTACAGCATCGCACTGCTGGCTCATATTCACACTGTGGTCCATTATTACCCCCAGGTCCCTTTCATTCATGGTGCTGGTCAGTTTGGCGCCACCAAGCCTGTAAGTGTGTTGGGGGTTGCTTGTCCCAAGATGGAGCACTTTACATTTCTCAAAGTGGAACTTCATCAGGTTCTGAACTCGCTATCCTGCCTAGGCCACCTGTATCTGTAGCTTATCTTCAAGCATTACCATGCTTCCCCATAACTTAGTGTCATCTGTGAACTTGGCCAGTGAGCTCTTCACCCCCACATCCAAATTGTTAATAAAGATGTTGAAAAGTACTGAACTGAACACTGCAGGACACCCTTGCCCACTTCTTGCCAGGATGACACGGGTCTGTTCACTACGACTCTCTGGGTCCTATGCTGCAGCTAGTTTTTTACCCACCTGACTGTCTTGGAGTTAAGCCCATAATCCTCCAGTTTTCTTGGGAGGACATCATGGGATACTAGATCAAAGGCCTTTTGGAAACAGGTCAGAATGTTTTTAACACTGTGGATTCCTATTTGGGATCTCCGGGTTTCTCTCACGTATCGTGTTTGCAGACCTAGGATTGGTAAAAGTGTGTGGTATCCTTGAAAGGATCTCAAGGTACACCGATGTGCTGCAGCCCCTTGGTGCAGATGCACCCCAAACCATGTTCAAATGCAGGTCCCTTGCTTGAGGTAAGTGCTGCTTTGGGCTGGCCGGCTCATTGGGATAGGAGTGTGCAACTTGAACACTGCTGATGCTCAGTCTGGTAGGGCGGGGGGGATGCAGAAGGATGAAAGACAATTGCTCCTCAACTGCTAACCATGCTGCAAACCCCACATGGAAGGCAAATACATGCTCCCGGTGTGTGGTTGCTCCCCCTTCAGATCACCTAACTCCAACTCCAAGGCAAGGCCTTGAATCAGCTTTAATCAGTGTAGAAAAGCTCTTTAACCCCCCCTTCTTTTTTAAATTTCTAGTTCCCAGCCTAGCAACACAAGCATAATGGAGACAAGGATCCAAGATCTCTGAAGCTAACATTTCACTCCCACTATCTTCCTAGTGTGTATTCAGATGCACTTAGTGGGGAAGCCATTGTGTTGAGTTCCTATACTGCTTCCATTAAATTCAAGCACTGTACGTGCTTTATAAACATCCCACTGACCCCAATAAAAGTTGGATTAAGGTGTTCCCCTGGGAAGTCCTGCAAGCTAATGTAGAATAATTTCCTCTTCTAGAGTAGGTCACAGTGTTTCCATTACTATTGCATATCAATATTCATAGCTAACATGTAGCAATTGCTATGGCATTTCTAGCCTTATTTCCTGTCCGCTCTACTTCTTGTGTAACAATTTAAAAAGTGGTGGCAATTATCAAAATGAGAAGGCAGGGACTACGCTGCGTGTAAGAACTCTCCAAGTCTGCTGGCAGAGAGCTGCTAAGACCCCATGATGCCATTAAGAACTGCTGTAGGTTAATGGGCACTAGCAAATTCATGATGGAGCTTTACGGGAATTTTCTTGCTGACTGTTGTCATAAGAAAAGGAGCATCAGTAAGAGTGAACAAACCTTGGCTTTTCTCCTTTTTTTCCCCCAATTTGTACATCTGAGTTTCACTTTTTCTCCTCTCCCCTGCTACTTGAAGGGAAAAAGAGTGACACAGGAGGGCAGCAGTCACTGAGTAGTTGGAGCAGAGCTAGGTGCAAGACACTAAGCGGTGGAGGCAGCAGAAACACAGATAACTATGTGGGAGCAAGTTGCACTGCAACAGGGCAAAGCTCTGGATGGGTAGTTAAGTAGGTGCAAGAGGAGCAAGTAGATTAAGGCTAAGGAGAAACCAGGGTTGGGAAACACATGACCTGAAGGGGCATGCTCGTGGAGTATGTAAGCTCAGCCCCCAAACCAAAGCAAGCAGTCTGGTCCCAGCTGCTGGGGATGTTGCTCCTGAAAGCAGACTGCTAGATAGAAGGCTGTGCACCCTGGAGGCTAGGGGAAGACCCAGCTGGTAAGTGAAATGTTTGCAGCACTGTAGAGACCTGAGGTGGGGGTTTGAGCTCTAAGTTAGAGACTGGTGGGTCTGTCCTTATGTTTAACTGTGAAGTTGGGGTGCCCCAGGAAGGGTGCTGTCAAAGTGGGTGCCAGGGAGCCACCCTGCGTTGTGGGACTGCAGTCCTAGGGCGCAGGCCAGGGAGGCAGGGTCAGAGGGACCAGTGCAGTGGCTGAAAACCTAGAGGGGTAGGAGCCCTGAAGAACACGGAGAAAGATCTGCAAAGTGTGGTTGTGTGTATGGGTGCAGCTGGAGGCCACGATTATTTCCCTTATGGTGATTTGTTTCCTGAGGCATGAATAGTGCCAGGAGGGCCATGATTTAGTGCCCTAAGGCAAAACTTGTGCCACAAACGCAGGAGTCGGACGGAGGGTAAACTGAAGCTCACTGCAGGGCCCTGAGGCAGCTTTCCTAAGTACTATGATGCATCTCTATCAAGGTGAGGCAGAAAGTTGAGGGTGGGGGCGGTACCTGAGACACTACAAGGTGCCACAGCCACTCTCTGGGCCAGTCCTGCTACACCGGCACCTGGTAGATGTTTAGTCATGCGAGGAATTTTACATCTGTGATTGATCAGACTGCCCTGCACGCGTAGGTGCAGCAGCATAGCCTCAGTCAGTCGGTGTCTCCTGGACGGGACTGGAGAAGGATTCTGCGGCAACGATAGTTAAAGAAAAATCATCTTTAAAATATTGTTTGGTTGGAAAGCCTCAAGGACGTGCACTCAATTCAATACAGGACTAGCACCTCCCGGTTCATTTAACTTTCTCTCTATTTAAAAAAAAAAGTTGATTAGATTTCAACTTGACAATGTCCCTCTAAACAGAAAAACGAAAAGCTGGGCTCAATGGGGAGTTTTGTGGGACAGCATGATGAATGGAAAGGAGCTGTAAATCTGGATGTTTGGCTTCCATCCCCAGCTCTGCTCCCACCTTGCTGCCTGACCTTGGGTAAGCCACTGCACCTCCCTGTGCCTCAGTTTCTCTGCAAAAAAGAGGATAGCTTCCAGGAAACTGAAGAACTGAACTGGTAAGTGCAAAGGGCTTTGAGAGCCTCAGATTAAAAGGCAAAGCTGCAAGGTCTCAAAAGGTCAAACCTCTCAAGCCAAGCTTCTAGGTAACTTTGTTTTTCATAAGTCAGACCCAAAATAGTTGCAGGCTTCCATGCATCGGTGCCATCCAGTCAACACGCCTGTGCTCAAGCTGGAAAAAGAGCCCAGGAGTTCTGATTTGCAACAGCCCCCAACTCTTACTTTTGAAGGCCCCCCCACACTGACTTGCTTGACAAGAAGTGTCAGTTGCTGACTGCCATGCAGAATTTACAGAGAAAGTGGTGAGCATAGCTGCAAGTGCTACCTTGGCTCTGCAAATCAAGCTGTTTCCTTTCGTCCTTGTTCACCCTCCTGATAAAGATCCTGCAGCAGGGACTTAGCTGCTCCTTCGGCCAAAAATGCTGGCTGGACTCCTCCTCTATCAGTGCACTTTGCAGAGCTAAGTGGGGTTCTTTTCTTGGGACTGCATATGATACACGAAGTTGTAGGAACTAAATGGATGGAGTTAAAAGGGTCTGTTTTCAGATTAACCACTTTTCTGGCCATTAAGAACTATTTCTTTGACATTCAAACCCTAATGGCCATAGCAGCTGTAGCAACGATATGTGAAAGGGAGGGAAAAGGAATCATAGTCTATCTTACTTTGGTTTGGTAAAGTATTTACACAATACTCACTAGTTTTTAAGAGCTATAATTTCCACTCAGCCTCTAGACCTACTGTATCTGCTCTTTGAAAGCTTTCTACAAGAATTACATGCAGTCTCATACAAAAAGAAATCGTTCACTTCTGTGCTTTCAAGGAGAAAGAAGCTCTGACATCCCCCGTCTTGTCAAGAATGATATGAAACAGCTTGTAGCAGGGCACCTGCCATGCCTGCCACTTTAAGGTTTCAAGTTGGCAGTGGAGCATCCCGCAGGTGGGTGCTAGCCTCAAGGCTAGCACGTGACCCCAAGAGGGCCCTGGGATTGGCTAAGGGGGCAGAGCAGTCTCCTTTTTAACCCAGGCCTTCAGCAAGAAGCAGTAGTCTGAGCTAAGTAGGCCAAGGGGCAACATCAGGCTGAGCTGCTTCTGGAATATCTTGGAGGTAAGGGCAGGAGCTATGGGGATGGCAGGAGACTCCTGGTCCTGGGTATGCCCTGAAACTGCACCCTGCCAAGGAAGGGCGGCCTAGTGGGACTCCCTGTGGCAGGGGAGTCCCCAAGAAATGCTAGGCCATTTGCTTCCCCGGTGAAAGGTGAGGAGGGGTGCTTGAAAACCCCAGCCACTGCCTGAGGGCAGGTTACAATACTAGAGGAGAGTGGGGCCAGGCAAGCGCAGCATTGGGACTGCCTGTGCCCAGTGTAGGGGGCCAGGCATGGCAGCAGCCACCTGAGCCCCATAGGGTGGAAGACCCCAGTGAGGGGGCAGAGAGTGTGGCCCTAGGAGGGGGGCAGAAGGCCCAGAGAAAGGGCTGAGTGATAGCGAAGTGGCACAGAGGAGGGGCAGAAGGCCCAGTGGAGTGGTCAGTATATAAATGGCCCAGTTGAGGGTGGTAAAGATGAGTGGCCCTAATGAGGGGCAGAATTACTGAATTGGGAATAGGGAAATACTGCATGTGATAATATAGAAAGATGAGATGTGAGAATCAATATCAGTGAGGCATGGGACATGTGTAAGGAGAGGCTGGAGCATGTATCAAGTCCCTTGGCATCAGGAAAGAGAGCAACGGGAAGCCTCCTGCCTTAGAAACAGCAACCTTATTTCCATCAAGGTGTGGCAGGCGAGTGAGACGGAGGTTTAGCCTTGAACTGGCAGGTGGCTGGCACTGAGACCCAACCCTAAAGGCCAGTCTGTTGCACAGCTCTTCCCTAACTTCTCTAACTGGCTTTCTGTTCTTTCCTGCTACTTCTCTTGCTACATCTTTCTGCACAAGAGCCAGCTTAAGTCTTTGACAGGTGAGGGATTCCCTCTAAGAAGGGATAAAACACTTATGTTTCCCCTGGGCAAGAAGTACCACTTTCATGTGCTTATTAATCCCTCTTCCGTTATTTGCTATACCTCCTTGGACTAGCTTTATTTCCAACATCTTTAGTCAGCTCTCTGTCACTTGTAATTGTGCAGAAGGAGCAGCTCTCTTCTGGACAGTCCATACAAGAGGCAGCTATTTTGTATGACTCAGAGCAGAATGGAAAACACTCTTTCTTCTCTTTCACCAGAGTAGAGACTTGAGAATTGACCTAACTTAGAGTCTACGAATTTAACCTTATCATGTAAGAAAAATCTGTCTTGGCCTTTTTTAAAACTATCAAAATATCACTGTTTTAATTGAAAATAAATATAGATAACAACTAGAAGCACAGCTTCTTTTCTCTGGCTCCACAACAGACCATTTCTGTGACCTTGGGAGGTCACTACTTCTCTGCCTACTTTTTTTGGTGTTGCAAGACCAAATTTAATAATGTATGCAGGGTGCTTTGAGATCTTGAGATGGACAGTATAGAAGAACAACACATTCTTCTTCTGGTCTTAGTAAGTTCATTTTTTTTTTTTTTCTCTTTCCCAATCAAATGCTACCTTGTCAATTTGCCAGGAGATCAGTGCTTATGGACTGCATAAAATAAGGGGTAAGATGACCCCATCTCCTACGAATATTGTTGTACAACCTGCAGAAGCTAGAGGCTATAATACTTGAATTCAAGTTAAGCAGCCTAAAGAGAACAGTAGCCAAGGACTACAAAATGTTTTAGCATATTCTGGCTGCCAACACTATAGGAGAAAAGCATACATCTCAGCAAAAAGGCTAAATTCCTAGGTTTATGGCAGGGACCTCATAAGGACATCTAGTCAAGCCTCCTGCTCAAGGCAGGATTGTCCCTGACTAAACCATCCCAGCCAAGTGTCTGTTCAACCAGGTCTTGAAAAGTTCCAGGGAGGGAGAATCCACAACTGCTCTAGGTGCCTGGCCCAATACTTGACCACCCACACAGGAGGAACTTTCTGACTAACCTGCAACTAAACTTCCTCTGCTGCAGCTTGAGCCTATTGCTTCCAGTTCTGCCCCCTACGGCCACAAAGAAAAGCCAATCTATATTCTCTCCAGATTTGCCCTCTGACTAGTTGCAAACGGTTATCCAATCCCCACCGGTCTTCTCTTCTCCAGACTATGTAACCAAAGCTCCTTTAGCCTTTTCTCATAAGTCATGCTTCCCAGGCTCTAATAACTCTTCACTCCTCTCTGGACTCTTTCCGAGCTGTAGACATCTTTCTTGAAGTGAGGGGCCCCAAACTTGAGAACAGCCCCCCAGGGAAGACCTCACCAATGCTGAACAGAGTGGATGAATTGCTTCCTTTGACTTGCAAGTGACTCCAGTTCATATAATCCAGTTGGCTTTCTTTTTTGTTACAAGAGCACACTGTTGGCTGATATTCAGCTTATGGCTTACTGTAACCCCTAGGTCCTTCTGCAGTGCTGCAGCCTAGCCAGTCACTCCCCAGTCTATATTTTGTGCAGGTGATTTATTCTACCCCAAGTGAAGGACCCTGAACTTTGTCTTTGCTGAATTTTGTCTGACTCCAGTCTATCCTGCTCACTTTGGATCCTAGCCTACCCTCCAGAGGGCCTGCAACTCTGCCCAAGTATCAAGGTCAGCTGGATTGGGCTGCAATTCCCCAGTTCCTCCTCCTTCCTCTTCTTAAAGATGGGCACTATATTTGTCCTCTTTCCAATCATCTGGGACCTCGCCCAACCTCCATGCGGTCTCAGAGGATAGCCAATGGCGTTGAAGTTACCTCGGCTAATTCCTCCACTATGCTAGGGTGCATCCTTATCTCGTGTCTCTAATTCCTTACCTGTTCTACCATTACCTTAGGCTGCCTGACTCCTTCCTTTTATCTTTGCTGCCAACTCTGCTTGTCATCTGGTAGCTGCCTCTATTTGTGAAGACTAAAGTAGAGAAGGTATTAAATACTTCAGCCTTTTCCACATCCTGCATAACTAGGTTGCCTTCTGTATTCTGTAAGGGACCTACAGTTTCTTTGATCTTCCTCTTGACATACTTGCAGAATCCCTTTTTATTGCCTCTTATGTCCCTCGCCAGCTGCTTCTCAAATCATGCCTTGGCTTTCCTAATTTTCTGCTCATGCAATACTCTTCTACCCTTCCCTAGTATTATGATCAAGCCTCCTTTTTTTTTTTTTTCTCCACCCCCCCCCTTGTTTCAAGTGGCTGAAAAGGTTACTGTCTAGCCAGACTGGTTTCCTGTTGGCTTTCCCAATCTGCCATTAAATAAGGGGTGTGCATCAGGACCTGGGGGAACATCTGTTCACCAGAGCGCCCCAAGGGATAGCAAGGACCAACAGTCATAAACTCCTTCAAGACCATTTTAGACTGGACACAAGCAACAATGTCCACGCCCCCAAGACCTGGAACACACTCCCTCCAGAAGCGGTGCAGGCACCTACTCTGGACTCATTCAAGAAACGTTTGGGTGCTTACCTTCCTGGGGTCCTTTGACCCTAGCTGACTTCCTGCCCCTGCGGCAGGGGGCTGGACTTGATGATCTTCAAGGTCCCTTCCAGCCCAGACAGCATGCTGCTGTGCCCTTTAAAAGGGGCTCCTTGAAGTACAGCCAGTTGGACTTGCCTCCTAAAGGATCCTGCCCGCCAGGTCCCCCAAGTCTGCTGAAATCTGCTTTTCCTGAAGTCCAGCATCTTCCTCCTGCCGTCTCCCTCCCTGAACAATCTCATTTCACAGTTGCCATCGCCCACGTTTCCCTTCTCAACCCTCCTCCCTGGCTGTGAGCAGCAAGGCGGGAAGAGCCCCCCTTAGTTGGCCTCTCCCCTGTCTAGACTAGAGCAATCAAGAAGTTACTCCAGGCTGCTGCCCGCTCCAAGACCCTGCTGGGCTGCTTCCTGCCCAGCTCTGCCCCCTCCCCACGGCTGCCCTGACGGCTCGAGGCCCCACGGGACCCAGGTCTGCGCTTCAGAGGCTCCCGCTGCCTGCTTACGGACTGTCCCGTCCTCCTTGTCTTTGGGGGGCTTCTAGCAGCCTCTGGATAAGGGGCAAAGTGGGGGGAGCTGTCACACGCCTGCTCCTGGGACGGGCCCTGCTGCTTCGATCCTCCACCAGGGCAGGAGCTCGAGTCCGGGGTCCGCTCGTCCCCGTTGTAAACGAAGAGGCCGCGGCTCTGGCAGGGGCCCAGGGGAAGAGTCCCCTGTGCTGGGCAGCAAGGCCTTGGAGCTGCCCGCACGGGGACAGCCGGTCCCTCGTCCCCCCCCGGGCCCCGCTCACCAGCTCCGCGCGCTCCGGTCAGGCCAGGCCCAGCGTGGGGGGCGCGGTCGCATTCGAATTCTCCCTCTGTTGCGTCACAATAGCCGCGCGGCCGCGGGGCGCGCTGATTGGCCCGCCCCGCCCCGGTCCCGGAAGCACGCGGCGGCGGGATGGCGGCGGTGCCCCCCGACTCGTGGCAGCCGCCGGCTGTCTCCTTGGAGACCACGTACGAGGGAG